CACACACATGAACATTATTCACAGTTCTCACAAGTTGATTCTCAAAGTGCAAACCTTTGTAGATTGCAAAACGTAAAAGTATTATTATGCAGCGTTTTGTCTTCATCTGCCTGCCACTTTTGTGCACCTTTTTCCCTCGCGGTGCAGGTGTCTATTTCCGAATGAAGGTCATAGTTATGAGTGTTTTTGTGCTGTTCTTTCTATTGGACGTGATGGTTATCAAAACCAAACATGATAAATTTGGCAAGCGCAGGAAACACAACACGGAGGAGATTTGTCAATCAGGCTGCTGTACAGTGCAATAAAAAAATCAGCGAAAAAGCGAAGCAGTGACGGATGAACAGAGGGACCACTGTTTGCTGTTTATTAATAAACAAAATATATTCCTATATGACAACAAGCATAAAAGCAGAACGGTATTTGTACATCAGTGGGAAAATAGCGGTGGCTTGCTAGCTTTGTGCGGCTTCCCCGGGTCAGTGAAAAATTTCAAAAGACAAATGAATGAACTTACCAGGTTGCCCGATCTCTTCACATATCTTACTCCAAGCTCGGTCCTTTATATTCCTGTCTCGGTACAGAAAGCAGCTAGTGTCGTACAGCTCCAGGTTGTTTGCTACGGCGTTGATTAGCCTTTCCTCCATATTGAATGAAGAATGAAGGGCTTTGGCTGGATCTGCCCCTTTGATCTAGGTCAGAGCCACGTCATCAGGCTCCTGACTGGTTGTCGCGGCGCGATTTGACGCTGGAGTTCAGATTTCTCCAACTCGAGCGGTTGACGCGATACACGCTTTTGCACAAAATGCAACACAAAAACTGACGCGCGTGGTTTTATTTGCGAGTCAAACGCACCAGACGCGGTACACTGACGCGCGTTTCGCGCGTTTCACGCGTTTTCACGACGCTTCTACATTGACTTAACCTGACGCTCTGGCCGCCTCTATCGCGTTCAGTGTGAACACACACACAGTTGAGAAGAAATGATGTTACATTCAATTAAATCAGTCTTTTTGTATCCAGCAGCAAGTTAACATTTAATGCTGATTTTTTGTAAAACAACTTATTGGTTCTATTGGAGGTTCGACATGTTCACTTTGGTAGCACAGACACAAAGCCTAGATCGCAATAGTGAAACTGTGAATCATTTTAGAAGCAGCAACAATGTTGAGATTTAAAGCAACAGTCTCCATCACATAGTTAAGAAAACAAGCTACATTATGCATAAAATACACGTCTATAAATAATGAATGTAAATACAAATCAGCCACAATCAGAAATAAATTAATTTTTTTGAAATGCCATTAAAACAACTTAAAAACACTGATGGAGTGCCCTGTTATTT